GGAGGGCAACACTGGAGGACAACACTGGAGGGCAACGTGGCAGGAAGGAGGTCATGGTGATTACGGAGGGGCGTGGGTGGGTTGGAGGGGAGTTAACCTGCTGGACAGATGGCCGTCTGGAATTAGATGTCAGTGGTCACCTAAACCCCTTGAAAGGCCACCACTGAAATAACCCGCTGGTCAACTTCAAGCTAGAAAAGTCAAACTTATACCCAAAACTGCCGTTTGTACAAAGTCATATCGAAGTTTTTGCGATTTTTGAGTGTCTCAGATGCGTCTCGGTGTCGGTCCGGGTGTTGAAACTTACAGTCATCTGTTGATTTATTCATTCTGAGCTGTTGAGTAACTTCTCAAACACACATAACTGTGATTTATTACGGTTTATAGAGAATAAAACAGAGGATCTGGATCGTAACGCAGAGTGAGTAGAAGTTTCCAGACTCCCAAGCCCCGGCAGAGAAAACGAAGATCCGGGGGTTCATTTTAGTCAAGTGCTCATCCACCTTAAATCCCGCATTAACAGAATTAACCCAGTGATCTCCAGCAGCAGAGTTCCCCCTGCCCTCCTTATCTCCGCCGTCTTACCGTCCAGACGCTCAACTCTCTAACCAACGTCTGCACACGAAGCTCGCAGGTGAGATTTCTGCAGCAGCATCTCCACAACTTTCCGAACCCTTCCAAGGCTAAATATACCACTTTTTGATCGGTATTTCTTCCTGCAGGGTTGTGTTTGGTGCTAAAAGACTTTGGGTGAAGCAGAGCGTTGTCTGGAAGCCTCTGCAGGACTCTGGGAGTTTGATAACCAAGACAGCAAAGAGCAGCTGCGATGGGGAATGCCACCAGCAGCGCGATATCTAAGGAGATCCTGGAGGACCTGAAGCTCAGCACCAAGTTCACGGAGAACGAGATCTGCCAGTGGTACGAGAACTTCCAGAAGCAATGTCCGACGGGACGCATCACGCCGGAGGAGTTCGAGCAGATCTACGAGCGCTTCTTCCCCGAGAGCGACGCCAAGAGCTACGCCCGTCACGTCTTCCGCTCCTTCGACACCAACGATGACGGCACGCTGGACTTCAAGGAGTACATCATCGCGCTGCACATGACCTCCACCGGCAAGACCACCCGCAAGCTGGAGTGGGCCTTCTCGCTGTTCGACGTCGACAAGAACGGCTACATCAACAAGACGGAGGTGACCGAGATCTGCCAGGTGGGTCGTTGATAAATATCTGAATATTTCTAAATACTCCCCAGAAAACTCATCAGATAAGTTCCTCCTGAGGGTGAGAACAGCTTCTTTCACCGTTTAGAAACGTCAGAAGAAGAAGAAGTTCCCTGACTGAATATTTAGCGTGAGACTGTACATGACTATTAATTCTGCAAAGTGGTTTAAATATTGCAGTTAAGACCCTAAAATCGCACATCAAACACACTAGTCACTGGACTAACTGAAATACTACGATTAAGACCCAACGATATTATTAATTATTTGCATATTACAGTTAAGACACGTGACTAATTTAAATAATAAGAATCAAACCCTGTAATTTATTAACCATACATGTATCTGAGAGATTTAAACATTACAACTTAGACCCAGAAATACCATAATAAACACTAATTTACCTGATTAAATTACATAATAAGATTATGACCCATCGGTATTATAATTTATGCAAATTTACCCAACTAATTTAAATATAATGACTAATAATTTTAGTCGATATAAACAAAGATATGATTAATTATATATTATAAGACCCTGATAATTGAAATGTTAAGGCCTTATGGCATCATATAAAACATTAATTTACCGCTAATTAATTATGCAAATTTATTCAAGTGATTTAAATATAACAGGAAAGAGCCTACAGTGATATATAAGACACACTATTAGCCGACTAATTTAAACATTAAGACCATACAGCGTCATTATTATGCTAATTTACGTTTACGATGTCAAATAAAAGACAACTTTAGCTGACTAAATATTAGGTTAGAACCTGACGACTAATTACTCAGATTTACCTGTTAGCCCTACAATGTCATTAATTATGCTCATTTATCTTAATATTTTAAATAATACCTTTACTCTGCTGACTAAATATTGTTGTTAGGACCTGATAATATTAGAATTTCTGCAAATTTACCTGAATAATTAAAGTTTTACTGTTAATGAGTAATGTAAGTCCTACAGTGAAGAGCTGCCAGGTGAGCGTTTTTCTATCCATCCAGACGATAAATATCTGACTATTCCCACAAACTTCCACCTTTGTGGCATCAGACAAGTTCCTCAGAGAGTGAAAACATCTTCCTCCACCGTAATGATTTTGTAAGTGGATCACATCAGAAGTTGGTCCTTCGGGGAAACTTTTTAAGCTGCAGCGGAGGAAAATACAATCAGGATTAAGTGACATCAGTGCATCAGTAGCAGACTTTTTTTTTAAGGCTCCTGAGCTTCGGTTTTGTGCGTCAGGTGCCGGTTTGCGTTATTTAATTCTGTGAGGTTTGGCTGTTATTTGGATCTCTAAGCTCCGTGTAAGCCATGAGCAGGTGTTAATTGGAAATTGGCCGTCGCCGTTACGGTATGTAGGTCTGAGGACGAGTCGCTGCTTCGTTTGAGCCTCAAACTCCTGATAATCTCCGTGATTATTGGTTTAGCTCTCAGACAATATAGGCGGTAAAGAGAGTCCGCAGGAGGCTGATCCACGGTTCTGGTCCTGCTCGACGGGTTCTAGTCACTGATACATGTTTTCTTGTGATCAAACCTCGGTCTGACGGAGGCTGAGAAGTTTCTTATTCTCTGATTGAAGACAAACGACGTGGAATAGTAAAAAGGTTTAAGGCAGATCAGCTGGGAATCCAGCTGGCATTGTAATGGGATTTCATTCCTGGCCAACTGGCCCGAGTCCATCGGCGCCATGTTTACAACCTCACCATAAAATAGCTGCTTTTCAAATCCGAGAGCAACCAGACGAGCTTTTTCTGTAAAACAACGAGGTAGACGTCAGAAAAAAGATTATTGGAATATTGCTGAAGATGTCCAGATGTGGCTTCAAGGTCAGAAACAGAAACATCCAGTTGGGTCTGAGAGGAGCAGATCAGTAATAAAAACAGGATAAATATGATTTATTTAAAGGTTATCTGCTGCTACACACAACATTATTAAATATGCAAACTGACCCGAGTCATTTAAATAAGAAGAACCACGACCATAAATGTAAAGGTTAAGAGCCCCCTTTACAAATAAGAAAACTCTCCTGAGTTATTCCAATTTTACATTTAGGACCCTAAAATCTAATATAAAGCACAAATCTACCGGAGAAATGTAAATATTATGCTCAGTATCAGCCCATATGACACAAACCAGTTTATGAATACTTTACATTTAAGACTCTACAATAAGATATAAAACACAAACTTATCAGACTAATTTGAATATTAAGCTTATGGCCCGACAATAATGATAATTATTCACATTTACTTTAGTCATTTAGATTTTCAGTTAAGACACTAAAATATTCTATAAAATGCTAATTTACTTGACTAATTTAAATATTGTATTTAACACTGGGAAAAAATAGATAAAGCAAAGTGGAATATTTAAAATATTTAGCACAAATACTACAATTCAGACTGTATAGTATTTTATCAAAACATGTGTTTACGTGAATAATTTAAATATTGCCTTTATGAACCTACAATATCATGATTATACTAATTTATACAAGTAATTTAAATATTAGTTTGTTGTATGAAATACAAATTTACTAAGAAAATGTAAATATTAAAGTTAAAACACTCCAATATTATATGAAACACAGACTGACCAGACTAAATATTAGACATGATCACTAAGTCTGCAAATATACCAAAATAATTTACATTTTACTGTTCAGACCCTCTACAATTATATAAAACACACATTTAGCTGATTAAATATCAAAGTTAAGACCTGGGGATGTTGTGAGTTATGCACATTTACCAGAGTAATGTATATATATCACTTCAGACCCTCCAACATTATATAAAACCCGGTTCCACCAGCAGCGTGAACTGTGCGGCCCAGAGGGGCTGATGCAGAACTCAGAGGACATCTTGGCCCGACGCCTGAGTCTTGGCTCTAATCCATGTTAATCTAGGTGTCTTAAATGTGCAGCCCAGAGCTTCCTCTCTAAGTGGGACACACACTTAAAGGCCTGGACCTGAAGTGCACAGTCATTTAGTCATTTAGTCGTTTACAATCCTGCAGATCAGCCGCAGCCTTAAAACCTGCTCTGGGACCGATCGCTGCCGGCGGTGAGGTGGTGTTCTGACCATGACGCTGCTGTCAGCGGGAGGATCAAGTCAGTTTACCGTCAATCATATTTAAAATGGTCGCTGAGCCGAGGTTCTGTCTGGTCCAGAAACAGGAGCGACAATTAAACTAACGAGCTTAAACATTAAGGTTAAGACACTAAGATGCTAGCTCCTCCATCCGAGTCATTTAAACATTAAGGTCAAGACCCCAAAATGTTCTATACGACACAAACCTACCTGAATGATTCAGGTATTGAGGTTAAGACACTAAGATGCTAGCTCCTCTACCAGAGTCACTTAAATATTACAGTTAAGACCCTAAAACGTTCTATACGACACAAACCTACCAGACTAATTAAGGTTAAGACAACGTTAGCTCATACAAACACAAACCACAAATCTACCCGAGTAATTTAAATACTACAGTTAAGGTCCTACAGTGTTATATATATATATATAATATTAGGTGTAAAGTCTTACAGTGTTATAAAACAACATAATTAAGACCCTACAATATTAGCCCATATAAAACACAATGTATCTGAGTACTTTAAATATTACAGTTATACAACTCTACCTGACTAATTTAAACATCAACATCAACAATACTACAATTATGCAAAGACTCTACGATGTTATATGAAGCACAAATTCACCAAACTATACTGCAATATTATAATTATGCAAATTAGTCTGAATAAATGTAGAGATTAAGACAGACAAATGTATTAATTATGCAAATTTAGCAAAACAATGTTAATTTTACAGTTAAGACCCGACAATATTAGAATTATGCAAACTAACCTGAATAAGTACAACAAGACATATAAATGTGCAAATTTTGCAAAATTACCAGTCAGACCTTTTCGATGTTTTTTACGACACAAATGACCTCATTTAGATATTATCACAAAGACCCGACAATATTAGAATTATGCAAATTAACCTGAATAAATACAACAAGACATATAAACGTGCTAATTTTGCAAAATTACCAGTCAGACCTTACGATGTTTTAATGACCTTATTTAGATATTATCACAAAGACCCGACAATATTAGAATTATGCAAATTAACCTGAATAAATACAACAATTAGGACACACAGAAGTTTTAATTGTGCAAATTTTCTCTATGATAAATGTAAATATTATAGTCAGACTCGACAATGTTTAGAAGGTAGCTGTGGTCTTAATTGCTGGCTAGTTGATAAAAGAAGACGCAGGAAGTGAAGCTGTTTAGTGCACGACTGGGTCACATGCTGTTGGTTCTACTGTGCTGTTCCCATGTTGATGTGAGAGAACTGAAGCAGCGCTGTGTCTCACACCAACCCCCCTCTCAGGCCATATTTAAGCTGATCCCTAAGGAGGAGCAGAGCAAACTACCGGAGGACGAGAACACACCCGAGAAGAGGGCCAACAAACTGTGGGCGTACTTCGAGAAGAAGGACAACGGTGAGTTAAAGTCCCGCGATGCAGATGCAGCAGATGTTCCGGCATCCTGTAGGACAGATTACACAATAACACAATAAATCCACCTGAGGCCGCATGTCAGCATCGCTTCTGTCATGAAAAGCTTTATTCTGTCGCATGTTACTGTCTCACAGCTTAGATAGCGTACAGTCATTACTCAACCCTCCTGCTGGGCTTCTAATTTCCTGCAACTGTCTCTGTTTGCCCCCGCAGAGCGACTGGCCGAAGGAGAGTTCATCAAAGGGGTGATAGAGAACGAGAATGCGATGCGTCTTATCCACTACGAACCAATGAAACAATAGAGTCACTCCCATTTATCCCCTTCTGTCTTTTATGAGTTCCTCTCTCGTAAACCCTCAGACGCTTCCTCCTCTAATCCCTCCGTGTAAATACTCATCCTGCAGTGTCTTGGTCGCAACTAACTTTTCAGGAAGTTTACGTCATTTTGTTTTTCTCTTTGTCGATGCATTTATATTGAGCTAGAGGCCGGTAGAGGCAAATTATAGCGTTTCAAATTACAAGACAGCCAAAAAAAACAGGAGATTTATAGTGTGTTTATGTATGTATATTAGGAGTCAAAGGATATCTGATATCCAGCATCTGTTTTGGAAAAATGATTCCTGATTAAATAAATTAATTTGGCTGAAGCTTCCTGATTCTCTCTGAGGTCTGCTCTGATTGGTTAAACGTCACCAGGAACAGCCAATCAGCATTGAGGGATAAATGATGCTAAGTTCTCTTTTAATTTAACAGATAAAATGTAAACAAACAAATCCTGTGAATATATATTGGTGCTAAATATCAGTTACTGGTATATGTATGTATAGATATACTGACTTCTAATATACATATTTATATTTATAGTTTTATTATTTACCTTTGAATAATGTTTTTATTTAGAAACCGCCGCTAACAGCAGCTATTTTAGCATCATTTATTATATCTTAGCTTGTATTGTCTATTTTTTTTTTTTTTTACAGAATTTGAAATGTCTTAACTGAGTTTGTAGCTCTCAAAGTGCTGTACTTTATTCACTGTACAACGAATTAAAAGTTTTCTCATACGTTTTGGACAATCCATTGATTTCAGTGTTTCCCAGAAAAACAATAAATTCTCCTTTGACCTAAAAACACACTGTATATTCTGGTGCTGATAAAAAAAAAAAAAAAAAAAGATGCTGCTTTAGATTTGAAGTTGTTTTAATCCCACACACTAAATCCAGGATTATCTCCAACGTACACATATTTAAGGTGCATGTAGGTGCATTATTTAGCGTTGCCTCCGACGTTAAACGGGATGCACATCTGCCGTTTGCCTGGACGCGTGATGTCTTCCTGGTGCAGATGTTACTGTATTTGCGTACAGTCTGTGCCTGCATTTCCTTCCAACTTCCACTCTGACCCTCTGCAACCCTCTCCCTTCCCTCACCCCTTCGCATCTCTCCTCCTTCTTTCCATCCAACTCGGGATTACTGGTTTACACATAATCTTCTGTTCAACATCAGAGCGCAGACTTTTTAAAATCTCTGTAATCTTTCTATCTCTATGGGTTCGTCTGTGCATCTCCGCAGAGACGCCGTTCGTCCGAGCTTCAGGATCCGTCGCTGAAAGTTCGTCACCGGATACGAAGAATGTGTCGCTGAAATAAATGAGGAAACGTTGTGTGTTTACTCTACAGCTAGAGAAACGTCCATCCTGGGAAATAAACCGATCTCTGAGATGATGTTTGTCCTGATATGTTGTGAGTTAGCACACACACAATAAAATAAAACACATTAACATACAGAGTCCCTTATTTTCCATGAGGCACTGAGAAACACCCAGAAAACACGCAGGCTTGCATGTGTCACCGTGGCCTGGACATGTTGATATGTGTTGATTTCATCGGTCTGATCAGTTCATCCAAAGTTCACGGGAAGTAAAACCGGACACCAGAATCTGTGTTTCAGCTCTCTGATGAAATCTTTTCACTTTTTTCAGCCCCTATCTGCGATCCTGACTCACTGGATGGTATAAATCCTCCATTTTGGTTTCAGACAGCGTTGCATGTTTTCGAAGCCATCGTCGCGACAGTAAACAACAACATCCAAGCAGCAA